CAGAGCAGCGTGAGCTCAAGCCGCCGCACTCTCTCCAGTGAATGAGTGGGTCAACCCGTAGACTCACCTCCAACCAGCTCTCTGCAGGCAGTCTGATGAATCTTTTCAAAAGTTAAAGTGATTATGTCACCAACCGGTTTAAAACCCTTAGATGGCTTTCCCCTGTTCTTAGATTAATAAGGAAGACCTTTAAATGGTTTACAAGGACCCGCAAGGTCAGCCCCAGCTCCCACTCTGCTCTCAGATTACAAATATACTCTACACCATTCTCAGAGTCCCAGTGACACTGGATCCCTCACCATTTTTGATGTGCCATGCTCCCTTCTGCCATAGGGCCTTTGTGCATGCTATTCCCTCTGCCTGGAACCCTCTTCTCCCTGCCTTTGCTTAGTTAACTCCAAGTCATCACCCAGCTCTTGGCTCAAGTGTCATTTCCTCAAGACAGCTTTCTCTGCCTCTTCAGCCTAGGTCTGGTTCCTGCATGACAGATTCTCTTAAAACTGTACTTCTTTCCTTCACAGCATTTAACTCAATTTATAATTATGCATTCTTGGTGTAATTATTTGTTTAATGTTTCTTTTTTTTTGTCTTTTTTCGTGTCCGGCAACAGATCGCAACCCTCAGTGTCGCGCCCGTACCGGACCGGGACCGGCAACGGGATCGCAACCCTCAGCACTGTGCCCGCACCTCGCTCAGCCAGTGAGCGGGAACCAGTCTGTATGTGGGATCCGAACCCTCAGCGGGAGCGCAGCTGCGCTCTCAAGCGGCGCACTGTAGCAGTGCGCCACCGGGCCGGCCCCTGTTTAATGTTTCTTTTTCACACTGAACACAATGTCTGTGTTGGATCCCCATTGTATCCCCAACATTTAGCAGAGTCCCCAGCACATAGGAAGAAGTTGATAAATATTGGTTGAGTGAACAGACATGCACCCAATACAGTAAGTCCTGTGAGATGCACAGAAATTAGCAAGACACACATCTCCAAGAAGCTGCAAATGAGTGGGGACTACAAAACATTCACATGGCAAAATCCCTCTCTAAGGAAACACATGGGACTAGCTATAGTGGTAGCATCTGGAAAGGGGTAGGAGGGAGACGTACTTTTGATTGCATATTCTTTTTCTTTCTTTTTTTATTAAAAAAATTTTTTTAATTTTACAGACCTCCACAATGAAGACGATTGCATATTCTTTTATACTTGAATAAATGTGTATATGTATATATATCACCTTTAAAGGTAAGCAAACATACTTAAAGAAATAATAAAGACAAAAAACATTAAATGACATAAATGAGATATAGAATGCCACAGGAGTTCTAAGAAAAGAAGGTTACTTCCAGCTAAAGGCCTCAGCAGGAAAGCTTCATGGAAAAATTATCACTTGAATTGGAACGTGAAGGATAAGTAAGTTTTTAATAGAGGTAAAGAAGTGAGGGAAGAAGTGATTTCTGAGGGGAGGGAATACTGGTCTAAGGGACCAGGGCAGGAAGTACCAGACTGAAGAAGGACATTCAAGATAGGGTGAGAAACAGATGGGGTCCATGCAGAGAAGGCAGTGGGAGATGAAGTTAGTAAGTTAGGGTTCAGGGCATAATGAATGCAAGGAATGCCAGGGTAAGGAATGCTGACAAATCTGTCAGGTAATGCATGAGCCACACAATAAGCAATAGAGGGCAGAAGAATTAGAATTGTGCTCTGGGGAGGCTCATTTGGAGCCAGTGTGCAAGATGGACCAGAGAAGGAAGAGGCAGGCAACAGGAAGGAAAGCAGGATTAATACCACCTTAAGACAGGAATGTCAGGGCCGGCCAGTTACCTCAGTTAGTTAGAGCATGGTGTTGCAACACCAAGGTCAAGGGTTTGGATTTCTGCACCAGCCAGCCACCAAAAAAAAAAAAAGAAAGAAAGAAAGAAAGAAAACATATGCCCAAACAAAAATTTGTACACCAATGTTAATAAACAGTATTATTCATTACTCATTATAGCCAAAAAAAAGTAGAAACAACCAATGTCTATCATCTGGTGAATGGATAAGCAAAATGTTACATATCCATACAATGGAATACTATTTAGCCATAATAAGGAATGAAGTACAGGTACATGTTGCAACCTGGATGAATCTTGAAAACATTATGCTAAGTGAAAGAAGCCAATCATAAAAGGCTGCATATTGTATGATTTCATTTGTACAAAATGTCCAGAATGGGCAAATCCATAGAGACAAAAAAGGACATTAGTGGTTGTCTAGGGCTGGGGGAAAATGGGAAATGGTTGCTAATAGGTACAGGGTTATTTTACTGAGTGATGAATATAAGGTTGTATATAAGTTTATGAATATGCTTAAAAACATTGGATTGTATACTTTTTTTTTTTTTTTTTT